ACTATTTAACTTTGACCAATGCGTTGTTCCGAGTAATGCAAGATGGCACACATCTCCTCCAATATTTATCTTTTACAAGAATTCGGTGAAAGAAGCATACAACAATCTTTAACGAAATTTAAGAGAATAAAAAGCAAATAAAAAAAGACCTATCAAGTCAATCATCTATTGGCGCCAAATGCAAATATGATTAAGAATCTCATCGGGCACATTTATCCCTATAAGCCAAATTTCTCTATCGCTACTCATTGTAATGGCATTCGCGTCCTTTTGTTTCCTTTTTCTTTAAGGAAGGCATGTTCCCTCTCAGCTAATTGAGGTTGCTTAGATGAAGCTCAAAGAGTTACAGTACTCATCTCTTGATTCTTAGTTACCTCTAAAGGGTGTGGAATCTCCCAACATAAAAAAGTAGACGTACTTTGAATAGCATCCCCTCCTACACAAATTGTTTATGGAGAATGACTTTTCTTGAAGAATCTCAATGTCAATAATATAGAAATTTTAATATTTCATACTTGCCTATATATACCGACAATATTAGCTTTTTCGTTTTTCTTAGCGCCTTAGTAAGGATAGTCATTTTCCACAAATAAAATTCACCCGATCAACTCTTGAACAGATCTTCGGCGCACAAATCTAACACTTTCAAACAAAAAAAATTTAGAATATTATTGCAACACAAAGTTAAAGAACTAGTATTTCGATGATTCTAAACATGTCTTAAATCAAAGATTCGATGAAACTTTGATCTGAGGACTTTTTCCAAAACAATCAACAGATTTTAGAAATAAATTTCATGAAAGAAGTTCATCATGTGTACAGCGATAAAAGAGAATTGCATTTTATTCAAATTTAAATCTGATGGCAAAAAGCATCAAATGAAAAATATCCAAATTCTATATTAGAATTTTGAAAAAATTTTAAATTTTAGAAATAAAAAAGAAAATCATGTAGAAAAAGTTTACAAGATCTAAGCTACAAAGAGAACATTCAAGCAAAATAATGAGTAAATTAAAAAGATAATAATAGCAATAATAATAAAAAAAACAACAACAACAATAATAATAATAAGAGACAAGAATAGCGAGCATTGATCAAAACTAGTTAAAAATTCATATTCTCATTTGGGCCTCTAGAGATCTTCATCAATGCTCCTTTGACGTGCCACTATAATGATCTCCATATCGTGCTCTTAGTATTATACTTTTTAGGTCAATTGACTAATTTTTAGGAAAAAATTGGGCCACATTGTTGGCTGAATCTTCCCCACATGGGTCCACAACTAAGTTTGTTTTAAAACAAACTTCTAAAAAGAAGACTAAAGCCTCAAAACCAAAATGACAAACATTGGCCCTCACTTAATTGTGCCTTTTCCAGAACATATTTTTGTTGTATTTAAAAAAAAAAAGTCGTCTTCCGAAGCAAAATTGTGGCTTCCGAAGCAAAATTGTGGCTTTCCCTAAAGCTCACAAGAGCCAAAGGAAGGTGTTGTAAAAGCTTTTTTTAACAAGAGATGCCAAAGGAATGTATGGACTTTGTTTGGGGAATTATTGAAATTTCATTAGAGTTTTATTCAATTTTTTTAGAATCTGAAACCGCAAGGGGTAGTTTAATTGGATGTTTTCAAAAAGTACGCATATTTAAAATGCAAATATTTTAAAAGGGCACGAGTTATTTAATAATATTTAATTATGTTTGTAATAATACATTAAAATGTAACAAAGAAATGCTTCACCAAAGACTGTGGATTGTCGTTGTGCCAGGGCAAAGAGGTGATAGAGAAACAACGGCAAAGGCGGGCAACAATGACACAGTGACTAGTAGGTGGCAATGTAGTGCAAGCAAGGCAACAAAAAATGGCAATGATAATCAGAGTGGCAATGGCGGGCAAGGTGGAGATGATATCAACGAAAACGATTGTGGCAGGGGTTAGTGGCGATATCAGCATTGACGGTGGCTACAATGACGAGCAAAAATGACAACATAGAACTTTGTGAGCCTGTTGCAATGACAATAGTGGCAACAAGGAAGCTGAGATCATGGACTGCAAGTGTTGATGGCGTTTGGAATCCACCCAATTCAAGCAAAAACTCCACACCCGCATGCATACATGCACGAAGGCACCAACTAAGATCATCAAAGGGCAACCCCGAACCAATACGATTTGATTTTGGGCTCAAATGCTCATTTTTTAGGCATTTTGGACCTGCAAAATCATTTATTAGCGTTCTATTATTTGCACTTTGAACCCTTAGTACCTGCTCTTAAGACTAATTATGAGTAAAAAGAGAGGATTTAACTAATTTTTTACGAAAGTTTGTGCTTAAAAAGTGCACATAAAACACCAAAACTATTTAATGCTTAAGTTTCTAGTGATGGCGTATAACTTGGTTAATGACCAAGAGGAGTTTATATGGATTTCCAAGGAATGTAAACACCTTCAATTTTCTCTTAAGTTGCTACTTTCAACCGTCAAATTTTTGGACTTGCAAATCTATACATAAAAAAATAGAGGGCCTAGGCCCAAACAATATTGACCCAATTCAACTGCCCGAGACAACAACTTTTTCCTCCCAAGCCATTCATGCAATCTGAGAGTGTGCAAACAGGTAGCATGCATCCTAGAAGCAAGCAACTGCCACCCATTATTACCACCAACCCGATAAGCAGAGCGCAACCGAACAAACCACAAGCACCCTTATGCCATGATTGAGACTCATTTGACTTAAATCAAAAATTTTATACAATTAACCCCCACATATGTAAACTTTCAATTGTTCCTTTGATTTTAAGGTTCGAGTTTTACATGCTACTTATGATGTTGGATTGCTCCAAAGGAGATGAGCTTTTCAACAAAAAAAAGCTGCATTATCATATTAGTTTATTGATGATACCAATTTGGCCTCAACACAACCATATAAGTACTGCAATGTCTATATGGCTCTAATTCATAAGTCACTTGTGATATTGCATTACTCATAATGGGATATTGAAAAACCAATATTATGAGATTGTAACATTTTTCAAGCAGCCATTGGTCTGATCCACAAATGTTCTTAAAATTATCCATACCAATCTTGGAATTTTAATGTAGCTTCAAAGCTATATATTTGGATTTTTAATTGGAGACCATCATTAGCAACTACCATTGTCGAACAACCATCGGCGACCCCTGTTTAACCACCCACCCAACCCTAAACTACGCAAGCCTATTGGTTCAACACAAAGGAAGTCACTATCCATGTCAAGGGAGGGTAAGATCCAGGACAACTGACGTCCATGCTAATTCGGAAAAAAAAACCAAATGCTTATCCAAAAACTTATAAAATACATTTTTAAAATAAGAAACCAAGGTGAAATCCTCATACGTAGAGACTTCTAAACCTTGACTGATATTGCATTGCTCATAATGGGATATTGAAAAACCAATATTATGAGATTGTAACATTTTTCAAGCAGCCATTGGTCTGATCCACAAATGTTCTTAAAATTATCCATACCAATCTTGGAATTTTAATGTAGCTTCAAAGCTATATATTTGGATTTTTAATTGGAGACCATCATTAGCAACTACCATTGTCGAACAACCATCAACAACCCCTATTTAACCACCCACCCAACCCTAAACTATGCAAGCCTATTGGTTTAACACAAAGGAAGTCACTCTCATGTCAAGGGAGGGTAAGATCCAGGACAACTGATGTACATGCTAATTTGGAAGAAAAAACCAAATGCTTATCCAAAAATTTATAAAATACATTTTTAAAATAAGAAACCAAGGTGAAATCCTCATACGTAGAGACTTCTAAACCTTGACAGTTATGTTCCATAGTTAGATATCTTCAGTTTTCTCCATCTTTCTGTCTTCACCTCTCTAAGTCATCTAATTCCCATCATTTTTAAAAGAGTAACCGTCCCAACCACCACCAATTCTTCAATATCATCCAATTTCCATTTTTTTTTTCAAAGAAGGGGTCGTATTAATACATACAACCACCCATTTTGTCTTACTTTCTCCTCTCTTCTGAGGGAAGGGGCCATCATATGCAATACTATCAACACTAGCACCTAATGACTTCCTTCACCACCATCATAAAAGACATACACCAAAGATTAGTTTGCATACATTGTATTGATGAATTCTCCAAATTCATGGAAGGGCGGCACTCTATACTCCAAGATTAAGATTAGTAGTATATGTTTCAACTAGCCTAGGTACCATGGTTTTTTTCTTATTCCAATTTTTACATCAAAAATTGTGAATTGCAGTGCTTACTTGGTTGTGGGGGATCTTCCTTTGAAACTAAGGAATTACATTTTCTTTCTCCACTTTCGCAACGCAAGATTCCAATACATACCAATCGCAAGATTCCAATACATACCAAATAAAATCAATAAAAACCAGTTGCAAGACGTGTGCACTGAGGTAGTATGTCATTAATTCTTGACGTGTAAAATCAATAAAACACAGTTGCACAATGGATACACTGATGTAGCATATCATTGATTCTTGTTCTATTTATTTAACCACCTTAAAGCAACTATATATATACACTGAAGTGGCAATTAGAGAGAGTCATCTTAGATGGTTTGGTCACATTAAACGTCTACTATTTGATGATCCGATTATGAGAGTAGATGTTTTAGTTTCGACTTATGTTAAGATAGGCAGGGGTAGACCTAGGAAGATTTGGGCTTATTTTATAAAAAATTATCTTAATTTATTAGAACTAAAAATATGGCACTAAATAGAATGGAGAAAAATGATTCATGTAACCGACCCCATTTAGTGGGATTAAGGCTTTGTTGTTTTTGTTGTTGTTGTTGTTGTTGTGTGCGTGTGTGAATAAAAGAAAATGTTTGAACATTAGAAGAGCCAACTTTGGCAGTCAATTAGCTTGCCAAGACTCCCCTTAGTTCAGCCGACTTAATCACTGTTGAAAAAAGAAAAACTCACTCCAATCCACCATGTATCTGTACCCATGAATGCAAACACTTACCTTTAGTCGATGATTCACTGCAGGGTGTATATCGATCGAGCTCTCGTCGCCCTCCACGCCGTCAGACTCCTTCTCATGCTCCCTCTTCGAATACTTCTCATGATCAGAAAGAGCCACATTGAAATCGAACGCCTCGTTCCGCTCGTTAAACCCTAGGCCAATGAATGCGTGTTTACCCCGTCCATCCTCGATCCTAAGCACGAAATACCGGGAGGAATCGAGCACTGTCTCGACAGAGATCTCCCGCTGACCAGGTAGGACGAAACAGGCAGCAAAGAGTTCTCCGGTGCTGGGGTCCTCAAGCCGGATCTCGCAGCGATCGCCGCAGGACACGACGCGAAGACGGCCGGACCAGATCTTATCCGATTGCAGCCACTCTCCGCACTTGTACCCACCACTCGTGCTCCGTGGTGGGATCTTAAAAACCGACACCTCCCGCACCACGAGGAGAGTGTGCTCAAACGCCTCCTCCTCGATCGATGACATTTCCGGATTTCAAATTCCTGCGAAAAACCAAGAGGATCAGTCCCTTCCTTCGATCGACCGATCTCAGATTTAGAAGAAATGATCATCAAAAAACAAAAAACGATTAGAAAGCGCAAGGAACGTACCCGACTTCAATGGCTGCCAAGAACTAAACCAAAACAAACCTCAACAACGAAATTAATGGAGAAAGATAATCGATGAGGTATAAACCAATGGAAGAATTTATGTAGTTAATTGAGAGCAACAAAATTGGATGATGACGATGAGGATCTCACTTACTCTCCGCTGCGAACTGCCGATCTCTGAAAGATGCAGGACGCGGAATAAGACGGGGAACGAAAGTTATTAAAAGAGATATTTGCATACGTACCACTCAAATATATGTATTTACATATCTAACACCTGCATTTTTTTTTTTTACTCTAACACACAAATGTTTGTATCAAATGAAAAATATCATTACATTAAATTAATAATAATGAAATTCAAGTGATATATAAACAAAATGATATATATATGTGATGGTGGAATTAAAGAGTGACTTGAGTAGGCACTTTTCATTCCTACATCTTTATTAAATTTTTAAATATTAATAATATATTAATTTTTTTATTATTAAACGTAAATATTTAATATTAATTATATTTTAAATTAATTTTTTTATTATTAAACGTAAATGTTTAATATTAATTATATTTTAAATTTAATAATAGTATTTTAAAAAATAAGAGTGCAAAGTTTTAAATTAAAAACTAATTACTCTTTAAGTTTTTATTTTACAATCCGTCTCCTTAATTATTTAGTTGTAAATTTGAATTTTTGATGTTAGAAATGTAAATAAATAAGAATTGAGTGGTATGGATGCTAAAACAAAAAACTACTAACCATTGCTGAGATTCATCAATTTGAATAGGTGAAATCTAGTTGTTTCATCTTTTCGGA